TCTGAGCTCCACTTGCCTTTTTATACACTTGAAAGCCAAGAGATTAAAGCACTAGGCAAGAAACCAGGAGACCCTGAGGCCTAAATACAGCTGGGTGACTTTTGGCTGGTCACTCACAGTTTGAAAGAAGGCAATGGCAAGCCAATTGTGAAATCTTGCCAAGAAAATTGCAGATATCTCACTGCCTTATCATTTTATTTCAGAACTTTCAGAGAAAGATTATAAGTTGTCAAGAATCCCCCAGAGATCTCTGTTTTGCTTTTTCAGATCTATTCCAAACCAACAGAGAATTAGTGGACAAGATAAAAGCAGTAAGAATTATGGGAGGAAGTGATTATAATTCCAGGAGGCTCAAGATATTGTAGAAAGAGAAACTAGAGCACAATACAAGCACACTAAATTTGAGGAGAGTCAATCTCTACAAGCTTAAAGTAGTATTAGGGAGCAACCCATGGTCAGAAATCACCAGGCCAAAGGACAGCCCCAAGAACACTTGCGTACTATTCCAATTATAGCAAGAAGAGGGCAGAGTTCCTCTATTCCTACTTTGTTTAGTTGTCAGACCCCAAAAAAGGAGCGATAACTAAAGAAATTGGTTATAAATATCTTCAAAAAGATAACTGGTAACTAGAGACCAGACAGCTTGACTATAATACAGGGCAAAAGTGAGAAACAGATTATTCAGCAGTTGGTTTGTAAGCAGGAGCTAGCACAAGTTTAATGAGAATAAATCATGCTATACCATCCTGATGAATGTCTTGACTTTTCCCTTTTTTTAAGAGTGACCAATTCAATTAGCATAGAAACATAGTGGACACAGCACACCCTGCCTTTAGAAAAGTATTCAACAAAGTCTTCCATAAGATTCTAGTAGAGAATGATAATAAAGAAACAAAATGTGATCAGGACATGCTATGATTATAAACAGTACCAGCATAGGTCACTTTCAGCCCAACTCACCACACAGGGTTGTTGTTGAGGGGAAAATAGCAGGAGGAAGGAGTATTAGGTATGTTTGCCATCTTGTGTTATTTATAAAAAATAATAAAGACAGGATAAATAAGTAAAATATAGAGAGCTAGCTGAACAATCATATTACATTAATGACTTCATATTAAGATGGAAACAAGTATCAAGTGGCATACTATAAAGCTCCAGTCTACCGCTGAGTTGTTCTACATATATAAAAGTGCTTGGATGAAGGGTTAAAACATATACTTATCACATGAATAGATGAAGCAAAGTTAGGACACATAACAAACAAATGATAATATAAAGATTCAAAAAGATCTTGAAAAGTAGAAACAATGGGTGGAAACCAGCAAAATACATTCAATCAGAAAATTGCAAAACCCTACTGCAGTAAAAAGATGCAGTTTTATTCTTAATGAAATACCCCAAGTTTCTAGGTACCATATATAATAAATACAAATAGCTAGAAATATGACAAGCTTAGAGTTAAGGCTCTTATTTTAAACCTGAAGAAACTAATTTCATAACCTTTCCTTCATTAAAAATGTAGTGAAGTGAAGAGCATCTAAGTAAGTATTGTGCAGGGGCCTATGATAAAATGTGGGATAAATAATATACTTTCAGAGACAGTTGAACTCTACAAGTCATCTTGGAAATCAACTTGTTGGAGCAATTGAGAAACACCAATGGAAAAGGCATGGTTTTTAATAACCCTCAAGATGATGGGAGTGAATTCTGTATCTGAATTAACTAATTCCATGGGCAATTAGGCCAGATGAATATGTCTTCTATAGAAATGTGAATGTATATAAGCCAGTGGTTCTCAACCTGTGGGTCGGGACCCCATTTGGGGTCGAACGACCATTTCACGGGGGTCGCCAAACAAGGCTGTCCGCCATTTTTTCCCCTTTTCTTTGGCCACGCCCCTGGCACCCGGTGATGTATAAGTGGTTGGGGGTCACCACAACTTGGGGAACTGTATTATGGGGTCGCGGCATTAGAAAGGTTGAGAACCACTGATATAAGCCCTGCTCGTGCAGCCTTCTAAATCTTTGTTTTATTTAATTAGCAACACCATGAACTAAGTTTTGCATTCTTAACTTCATCAAGCAGGCTGTTCTAGAACACTTATAGTTACTTTTATATCTATGTTGAGAAAAAAGGAAGCTAAAAAAGCCTATTTAATTATATTCTTACAAAAGCCATATGTGGAAAAAGCATAAAATAGCTGTGAAGAAGGTGCAGTTACTTGTTTTCTTGTATTCTTTGCTAACCAAATAATTCTATACCTTAATGCCAATCCATGACTGTAATAAATTTTAATCATCTACAGTACTACACTTTTTATTAGGTCAGATTACTGTTTGTAGTTCTAGTTTTAATAAAGTAATCTCATGAAGTCAAATAAAATTTCCTTAATAAAAATAAATAATTCAACACATTAAGCTCAGTTGTCATGGACAGAAGTTAAATTATCCATTATAAATGTTCTTACTCACTAGGAAAAATATAAAATGTAAGAAAAGGGGTGTGCAAAACAATGATTTCAAAATAAGATTTTAATATTACCAGAAGGCTTCCAATGCTGTTCTGACCTTACTGGAAGTATTCATAGTTTAAAAAGGAAGCTATGCTTTCACATTTTAAATGCAGGCATTTATCCAACAAGAAATTGAAATACTTCCATCTATTCCTGACAAATATGCCTTGATGATACTTGGAAAAATGTGAGAAAAAGAAAACAGAATGATCAATATTCTTGTCACAGTATAGGTCACAATGCCTACTTCAAATTCTTTGTTGAATTAATAGTGGGAGGCATTTCTCTTGTTTATATTGCTCGTGTCCTTTTTGTTTCAATTTTATTGTCTTTATCCTTCAACACGTGTCCTTGGAAATTTAATATGGGAGATTAAAAATAAGTGAAATATTTTAGGATGCAGAAACTGTATAAGGTGTCATGCCTCCCTCTGAGTTTGACTCTGAGGATGACATTGAGTTCCCCATTGAGGCCCAGGAGGGGGTGTCTGTGGCTTCGGAGGACTGTGGGGAGGAGCAGGCTGAAGCAGGCCAGGGCCCTTCAAGTTTGGAACAGGGAAGGCAGAGCTCAGGCGAGGAGCAAGGCCCCTCCCCACCAGATCCCAGAGCAAGGAGAGCAGAGAGGAGGAAGGAACACTTGCTCACTTGCTCAGGAGGAGAGCGTCATGCCCCACTCCACAAGGCACATCTGGGGAGTAGGATTTAAGGAGATGCTATGGGGTGGGGCATTTGCCGGGAACAAACATGAACTCTTGTGATGTGAGCTCTTGTACCTGGACTCTTTGTATTTTGGATCAAGTTTGTTTCCTGCTGAGTTCTCCTTGCTGTCCTCAGTTTTGCAGTTTGCAGGTTACAGGCAAGCTGGACGTTGAAAAGATCATACTTTGTTTGTTATCTGTTTTACTTTAAAGAACTGTTTAACTTCTTTGACTGTTTTAATGAACTTGTGCCACCATATGTGGGGGCTGTTGGGTGAACGTTGGCAGTGCTTACAAAGACAATTGCTCTGACCAGCTAATTGCTTTGCCTCCGTTTGGGGCCCTGGGTCATTGCACAAGGATTCCTCCTGATCTGAACAGAGCCGAGAATCTTTTTGTCCATTTTATAAATATATAAGATATCCTTTTAACAAAATTAAATGACTGTTAAATTGTCCTTAACCTGATCTGGTAGGATAACTTTAAAACATAAGATACCTCAGAATCTTGATGAAATATTAAATCACTATGAGACCAACACTGCTGATAGAGGCAAATTTCATGTTAACATGCTGATCACATTTAAGACTCTCTTTAGTACATACTATCAGTCCACAACTAAACCCCTATTAATATGTTTAAAATGACATTGATTTCTATGAAGAAAAGCACAAACAACTTTTTATAAAATCAGTTAAAATTATACTTAGAAAATTATAATTAGGTTTAGTTAAATTGTGTATTTAAACATGCACATTTATGAGACAGTCACAGTAAATCATAATTACACATACTGTATCAGTACATAATCTATTATGTCAATTTATTGATTTTGATGGAGAGTCACGTTTAGAGCACTTGCTATCAACATTTTAAAAGTTTTGTCCTTATTTCAACTTTGGAAAAACGATTCCAGAAGCTTGGGAATTTTACCTGAAAGATGCTACTCATTCAAGTATAATCGTGCAACCTTGTATCCAAGCCATTATGGTTGATTAAAGAGCATTTTTGTAAAGTTCTATAATTTAAAATCTATTGATACACATGCTTATTTGATGGTTATAATTTCTGCTTTATCAACATTTTAAATGCAGGATTGAGTATGGTTAGTTTTAATTAATGCATTTAAGCCACATTATTTAAGAGGAACAGAAATTCAAATTGAATGTAAAATATACTAAAATATTTTTAGATGATTACCGTATTTTTTCCTTGTGCACCCTTTTTTGTGGAATATGGGATTTAAAATGGCAATTACACAATTACATTTTAAGAAATTCAGATGTTGAAATAAATTGGGACTAGTATATCATTTTTCCTTAAGACAATTTTTATATCAGCAATTCACTAATGTATTAATTATAAAATACTGCAGCTTCTTTCATTTACACACTGAACTATATTTAACACACATCTTTTTTCTGCTGCAAGTCATGATATATACTGTATTCCAGAAAATAGTTTAAACTACTTTATAAGATCAGTGATCTGTTTATTGGTTAATGTGGGGATCTTTTAAGCCTTTCAGCATACAAAAATGATTAACATCATTAGAACAAAACCATGCAGCACACACTTCAAAATTGATGCTGTTAGTATGAAAAATAAAGTTAAGACAGAACATCCAAAGCAAATGTCCATTCTGTCAAGCAAATATGACAAAGAATAAGTCCATTACTCATCACTTTTTGTTCTTTTTCTTGCTTAACAGACAAGGGTTCTTTTACACGTGCAAACCTCTGCAAAGCACTCATGTAATCCATGCCACTAAAAGGTAAATTTGGTAGTTACCAATTGTACAGGTAGGGGCCAAAGCGCTAAGGCTTTAGATTGTTCTTAATCATAAGATATCCTCAGACAAACCTCCCCAGTCTTCATTCTGGCTCTACAAACAAAATTAAGCACAATTGAATATTTTATAGTGCATTTTACATGTTTGTGTAAAGATAATCAACTTCACATAGGTTTGTGGATATTAGTACTCTTTAGGGTTTTCTGCATGAGTATTAACAAGTACAAAGCTAGTGAAAATATGAAGAAAAATGAATGTATTACACAAATACACCTCACTTTTACCATATGATAAGCAGTGAGTCTTCACTTTTCCAGAGGGTTGCCAAACTCCTAATTAGGGTACTGATTTTCAGAACAGTAAGAGGATTGCTTATAAAAGCTATAGGAAATGTAGCAGTAGCGGGGACATCTTTCTTTTTCATTGCCTACCCCATTCACATATAAAGAGGGGGTGGATAAGAGGATTGTTTTCTTCAAGCAAGAGAAGATTGAATCTTCCTATTCCCTTTCAGACAATCCTAGGGAGTCCTTGATTTACAACCATTTGTTTAATGATGGTTTGCAGTTATTATGGTCTTGGGAAAAGCAACTTACAACTCCTCCTCAAAGTTATGACAATCGCACTACCTCCATTACCTGATCAAAATTCAGGCACTTGGCAACTGGCTTGCATTTCTGATGGCTGCAGTGTCTTGTGTTATGTGGTTGCAATTTGCGACCTTCTTTGCTGGCTTCCAACAGAAAAATCAACTCAAGAAGCTAGATTTGTTTAATGACCATATGGTTCACTTAATAATCATGTGATTTACTTAACAACTGTGGTTTTAATGTCCGCAGTAAAAGTGGTTGTAAAATCAGGTCCACTCACATGATGATTTGTTTAATGACTACATCTCTTAGCAACCAAAATTCCAGTCCCAATCATAGCAATATATCGGGAACTACCTACAATGGATCCAGAAACATGGAAAGTGCAGTTCCAATTGGGAAAAAAAAAAAAAAAAAAAAAACAAGGAAGCTGTAAGAGAATAAAAATTTCAGCATCTTTCTTCCACAAGGTTCTTTTAAGATCCTCTTCAAACTGTTTGTGTACTCAAATACAGGTTCTGCTCCAATTATTTATCAACTACTGTATAAATGTCTATCAAAACTATATCTAAATTTACTTTAGAAACTACAATGTAAAACACGAGAAATAATGGAAAGAAACAGCTCTAGCACAATCTCCTTGGCATACTTTAAAAATTCTGTAATTTCAAGTTGAAACACCAAACACCTAAGCAGGGTGGTGACAGTTTTAAAATTTAAAACCAAAGTTTGTGATTGAGATTATATAGCTTTTCTACATAAAGAAATGTTTATTTCCTGCATTATGAATGAGGTTCATAGATGTACAACTTCTCTGAAAATCAGGTACTATCAGGGTGCCCAATTAATTTATTTTAAACATATTCAGCATATATATAATGAAGCAACATGTTTAGATCCCTAAGACTGATTTTATGCCACTGCTGTGTCAATTGAATGTAGCTATTACAGTGATAGGAACAAGATAAATGAGAAAAACTATGACAACATAGAATGTATAACTCAATTCCGAACATAGGTATCTCTTCTCAGTTACCTGGTTTTACACATTATCCTATTTTCTGTAACTAGAATAACAAGTATAGGAGAGTGATAATATCACAATTTTATATGGACCAATCTAGTGAGATTAGATCAGGTGTCTTCAAACTTGGCCCTTTTATGACTTGTGGACTTCAACTCCCAGAATTCCTCAGCCAGCGTGTCTGGCTGAGGAATTCTGGAAGTCCACAAGTCATAAAAGGGCCAAGTTTGAAGACCCCTGGATTAGATATAACATTATTACATTAGATATAATACAGGTAATCCCCAAATTATGAAGATTCACTTAGCTCCTGTTCGAAGTTACGTGACAAGGACCCCTTAGTGCAGTGTTTCTCAACCTTGACAATTTTAAGGCATGTGGACTTCAACTCCCAGAATTCCACGAGCATTGCTGGCTGTGGAATTCTGGGAGTTGAAGTCCACATGCCTTAAAATTGTCAAGGTTGAGAAACACTGCACTAGTGCTTATGAGCAAGTCCCCAAATCATGAATCTTGCAGCACCATGGCAGTTGTTCACCCTTACAAATGACTGCAGAGGCTCTGCAACCTTCACCCTATTCCCCCCCTTACAACTGCTTCCCCCTCCCTTTCTGCCGTGCCGGACTCACCTTGCAAAAATCCTCTCTGCCACTGTTTCTTTCCCTTTGGGCGAGAGGAAAGTCAGCTTGGGAATGCTTTTCATGCCGAGAATGGAAGTTTCTGAAGTCTGTGATCTTGCACAAGTATTTGAAGTTGCATCAAATCATGAACCTCAGAAACTTTCCTTCTGTGTGGAAAAGGTATTTGCAGTGCCTGTCTCCTACTCCTGCCCCCAACTCCTTTCTGCCTGAGGGCAGGCCCGAAGCCTTCAACTGAGGGAGAAAGCCAGCCCCCTTGCACCCGCATCCAGCCCACGGGAGCTCACCACACCGGGGGAAGTGAACCCGTTGTCCCCAGAGCCTCAGATGCCTCCTCCAAGCCGACAGGAATGGAGGCCAGGGGAGGCTTCTGCATACCACTGGAGGTCAGATCCAGGCCTTGGAGGACTGCTCCAAGACCTTGCTGCCTGGAATGGAGGCCAGAGGAGCCTTCTGTGTGGAGGCCGGATCCAGGCCTCAGAGGATTGCTCCAAACTGTTGCTGCCTGGAACAGAGGCGGGGAGAGACTTCTGCATGCCTCTGGAGGTCTGATCCAGGCCTTGAAGGACTGCTCTAAGCTGTTGCTGCCCGGAATGGAGGCCGGGGAAGCTTCCGCATGCCTCACGGAGGTCAGATCCAGGCCTCAGAGGACTGCTCCAGATCATTTTCAAGGTAAGTGAGTCCAGTGCAACAAAAAGGGAGGCGGAAGCATGAGTTATTTTAGTGGGTCAGGAGGCCTTGGATTCCTGTTCCATCACTAGGCCTCCCATGCTTTCCCCACCTTGAGATACCTCATGTGCACTTAACGAGCCGCCTGTGTCTTAATGAGCAGGAAGTGATGTCGCTCGAAGTATGAGGGTACTGAGTTTCCTCCATTTGTTTAAAAACCTAATTATATTTAGGACTTTGATTAAAACTATTTTTATTGAATCAAATATATTTTTATTTGATTTGGGTTTGGCAACCTGTATCACTAGTGACCTGAATAATAATAAGAGTCTAAAATGCATATACAAAAAGTTTAGCACTTAGAATGCCTATGTTTATTGCTTGTACTTCTTTCCTCAGCTGTATCAGAGTATCAGTCTTATAGGAATAACTAAGCAAGTTAAGACTTACTTTCCTAAGCTGTTGTTTCCTCCATTGTAACTTTCCTCATATATTTTCAGCTCTTTATTATTTCCTCACATATTTTCAGCTCTTTATTATGACTCCAATCCAGCTTTTCTCACAAAAAACAATTAGTGTGTCAGAACCAGAGATTCATTAGTATTTTAAATAAAGCCAATTTAATGGGTTATCTTGAACAAGTATTCACAAATCATTTGTACATATGAGTAGAATTTTACCTTGTGCATAAACATGGCATTATAAAAACTCCTGCTTCTGCAAGTGGTTAACTGTCTACCTGAAGACCTGGCAAAAAAACCCCTGTAACTAATGCTATACAATTTAACATAATAAAGTTGCAGTGAAAAAAGTTATTCACTTCAATATCATATTAAACAAGTTCTTACTAGGGATGATAACATTTTAAAATTAATTTCATTATATTACTAATACTGTTGACAATAATGCCCAAATAAGAAAAAAAAATGTTCTTAATTTATGCTTGTACTTTTATTGATGGGCATTTAGGTGTCATCTCTGTAATGAAATGATGAGCAATGAAGCTCATCAAATAGAGTCAAAAAACAAATCTTTCTTAAGAGGGAAGATTGTACAGTATTAATGAAAAATGTGAGATAAGCAAATTGTTGGGAAATGCCCAGGCAGGCAGGCAGAGAAAAAAAAACAAGGGGGAAATTAGCCTTGAATTGTTGTGCAGCCATAAGAGATCCAAGACTGATCCTTCTCCTCCAAACCCCATGGGAACTTATCTATCTATTCCCAAGGGAAGACAAGCATTCTGGGGAGATTCCTTTATTTTGGCAGAATTCAATAAATCAGTTAGCTTGAACTCTCTGCCTAATTTTGCATAAGAAGTCTTTTATTTTACTGAAGAGGTCATTGAATATAATGTACGTATTATTTACATAAGCAAAGGAATAAAAACATTAATTAAGTAGAGATCAAGCTAAATACTTATTAAAATAATTTTAAATTTTTTAAATTTTAATTTTTTTCTTCTTACCTAAGAGTATCTTATTAATATAGTAGAAATCCAATACAGATATTACATTTCAAGACTCTTGTGATTACAAATACACTTCAGGTAAAAAAAAGGAATATGTATTGTTCCGAAACTCTTAAGTATATAAATCAATTCAGTGACAAATGTTATTACTTTAAAAACATCTTGAGCATCTTAGGGTTAATTCAAGGATTGCGAGGGCAGAGGAATTTGCCACAAGACGTGGTTATTTATTTTTCTAGGAGATCACTTCGTAATAAAATTTTACAGGCTTTTTATAAGCAGAGATTTCAAATTGCAGCTCAAGATGTTAGAATTTTAAAAGAAATACCTTCAAAAATTCTTAGAAAAAGAAAGGATTTTACTTTTTTGGCTGATGAGTTCAAAAAACAACAGGTCCAGTTCAGATGGGAGATATCGGCTGGAATAGTGCTGAATTAAATGCGGGGATGTATTATAGACTTAATATAATTTCAAAGGCAAAAGATTTTTACACTTCTGTTTTGAAGGCGGGCTCTCCATCATCTTCACGACCTGAGATAATAGAAGAAAAGTTGGAAGAGCAGCCGGTTGAAGGTGCTATGTTATTGGATGTAGGAGACATACAGGCTGAACCTCTGCAGCAGTCTCTTGTGACAGAAGATTTTTTAAAGAAACCGAGAATGACTCGTGCAGCCTATAGACATAAGGAAAAAGAACAGCAGAAG